AGCTACACATGGTTAATAATTGTCATCCTTAAAATGAACTAAGTCCAAATAGGTAGCGGAATATGCAAGACCAGAAAATCATTTCATTTATTTTATGCTCTAATTTACCATTTATATTTTAAAAGATAAAATACATTATTTTATATCAATGATGAAGAACTAGATCGGGTGGATGAGTGGTTGTTCATCAAAATACAACACTTTATTTAGAAGATGTGGGGGAAGAAATAGAATAGAGCGCACTTCGGATGGTGAAGTTTTAGATATTGAATAATTGTATCTATTTTTGTTTGGCCATTGAGCTAAACTACTATTAGTTTTTAACTTCCTTACAGCATGCTTGTAGTTTGGTACTGATGTTCCGGTTGTTAAGGATCCAGTTGCATTGAATCTCTCAATGAATATAGTTATGGAACCAATGGAGTGACAGGAATTGATTTATGAAAGCTAACATCAAATTTATTACGAAAAGGCAGGTGGACAGTTGACAGAAAAAGTGCTTCAATTCGCCCAGCCAGCAGGTGGGCGACGTGCATATCATAAACACTACAGAGCAAGTAGCTCGTCTAGGTAGACGGCTATGTGACAAGACTAAAGAAAGCAACACTTTCATGTAACATGCTATGGTCTCAAAGCCCTTATGAGCTAGTGACGAGTTTCACGTGCTCTAAGCCCGATTGACGCATTGTTGTGAATCAATGTTTTGGTTGTTAATAATCCAATTGCATTGGATCTTTCAATAAATGTGGTTATGAACCACAAGGAGCGATAAAAATTCATTCATGAAGCCAATCTCAAAATTTATTGGCAAAAACTCCATGTTTGTTATTGTTTTAAAAATAGAGAAGAGGGAAAGAAAACCTGGATAGAGGGACCAGAAAAAATACAGACATAAAGTAATATCACTTTTCTGGCCCAAAAATTTAGTAAATAAAACGGAAACACGCTTTAACCTACAGAAAAGTAGAAATTAGTATTCATAATTTTTTTCAGACTGGATTAGGAAGTAGAAACTTCTTCGGAATGGCTTGCCTAAAGAGAAAACTCGTCTTCCTTTACCTTGAAAAGCATCCGCCTTCAAGGCAACAACTTGAATAGTGTTATTCCTGGCCTTCCACTGATCCTGAAAAGCTCTTTCCTTGTCAATTGACATCAATTGTTTATGAACATCAACACATTCTTTATGTGCAATTTCTCCTATTAGTGTTCCATAATTTTTCTGAAATTTCAATATATTTCTTAAATTACTCGTATTTTTGTACATTCCTCATTCTAAATACAATTTTCTTTTTATAAAATACTTAAAATTTGAGTGTTCGTGAGGGAATATCCATGCCTTAGGGTATATGCCCCACTACTCGCCTTATGCCTTCACCAGACTGCAAGTACAATCCAGATCCTTGTGGGACAGAGTAGTATATCTCAACTGGGCACATGTCATTACAGAATCACAAACACGTGAACAACCTTTGTATTTCACAGTGAAATAAATTGCCAATACTAACTGAAAAGGAACGCAACTAACTGCCAGCTAAAGCGCGAAAATCCAAATACTGAGTTCCACCAAAGCTGCATGTTCATGGAAAATGAAAGGCAACTTCGCCTGGGTCACACGCAGCATAGTCAAACATTCTTCGTAACATTCCATAATTTCCTGACATATTGATACTTATCTTAATGGTTCATTTAACATTTCTACCCCTGCCCACGCAAGCAAAGAGATTTCGAGATATCAGGCAACCAATTAAAGTGAACAACTCCAAACGAATCTTCTAGATCTAAAGAACCTTCCCTTTTCTTCTCTCTTCTTTCCCTTATCTCTTGGGACTTCTAACCGAATTTTCTCCATTCTGACAAAGTAACATGAAGAAGGTGTGCAAAAAGAAATTAACCCCCAGGCATCTAATAGTTATCGATTGACTTACAACATAAATATGTTCAACAGGAACCATGGTCCACATTCATCTCTTTCTGTTTGTTTTATTTCTTCACTTGGATTTGTCTTGTTGGCTTAAGAGAATAAATAATTATATGGAGACA